CTGATGGGCGCTGGTTCAAGTCCCGGCTGCTCCACTTCCGATCCAGCTTTCTGCTGTGGCCTGGGAAAGCAGTGGAAGATGCCCAAGTCCTTGGGCCCCTGCACCTGCATGGGAGACCCAGAAGAAGCTCCTGGCTCCTGGCTTCAGATCCACTCAGCTCCGGCCCTTGCAGCCATTTGGGGAGTGAACCAGCAGATAGAAGATCTCTCTCTCTCTCTGACTCTCCGTCTCTTTGTCTGTAACTCTATCTCTCAAATAAATAAAACTTTTTAAAAAAAGAAAGAAAACAAGAGCCACACAAAAATGTTCAAACTGATGGTAACACTGCTCACGGGACAAGTGTCTGCACAGCACTAAGACAGCGCTGGACTCCAGCACCCCCTCTCCAGGTGCCAGCTCCGCTCCCGACGCAGCTTCCTGCTTGTGCGCACCGTGGGAGGCAGCAGTGATGGCGCAGGGGTTGCGCCCCTGCCGCCCACACGGGATATCCAGGAGGAGCTCCTGGCTCCTGGTTGCAACCTGACTCCGTCCCGAGTACCATGGGCAACCGAGGAGTGAGGCAGAAGCTGGAAGATCTCTCTTTCAAATACATGAAAAATAGATTAAAAAAAAAAATACTGTTCAGGAACCAGTGCTGTGGCACAGTGGGCTAAGCCTCCGCCTGCAGTGCTGGCATCCCATATGGGCACTGGTTCAAGTCCCAGCTGCTCCTCTTCTGATCCAGTTCTCTGCTGTGGTCTAGAAAAGCAGTAGAGGATGGCCCAAGGACCATCCTCTGCACCTGTGTGGGAGACCAGGCAGAAGCTCCTGGCTTCAAATCAGCCCAGGTCCAGCTGTTGCAGCCATTAGGGGAGTGAACCAGCGGATGGAAGACCTCTCTGTCTCCCTCTCTGTGCGAAACTCTACCTCTCAAACAAAACAACTATTCAACATGCTAACTGCTTTCACCAAAGCTTCCCTGTTTTAGAAACTCCTACGAAAAACAAACAACTTTGTCTTCAGCAGGTAAGGACCGCTGCATGCTCACCGTGGAGAACTCTGCTCTGCCACACGGAGGCCACGTCCGACCTGGAAACACGCCCAGCGGCAACGTGCAGGTCAGGGATTCACGGCACACCCGCTTCAGGACGCACCGGGCGAGGGCGCAGCACCATCCTGGGTGCCAACGTGCAGAGGACCTGGTCGCCTCTTCAGAAGACGGGAGAGCGATGCAAGACAGCGCCAGAGGAGGAGGGACAGCAGACGGACAGCACTGTGGACGCCGAGAAGCCCCGGTCTGCCTCCCTGAGCCTGAGAGCAGAAGGGGCTGTGGCCAGGCTGGCTCTGAGAATGGCTCTTTACCAACCCCTCCTAGGGGGCCCACATGCCATGCAGGCCTCAAGACCTCCAGAAAGGAGAGGTGACCAGATCTCTCACCAGTGTTTGTATTCCGCTACACTTCCATAACAAAGCAACCTAACCAGAAAACCCACACAAAAGGCAGAAAGCAGCCCCCAGCAGGACCCTCTCCGTGTAGCAGGGCTGAGTGCCCAGCAGAACCAGACAGGGGGCCGCGGCGGGGGTGGGGGGTCTCTAACACGTCAGAGCCTGAAGGGCCTCTGCACACACCCACAGCGTCACACTGGGGACAATGCGGCAGAGAAAGCAGACGCGGCCCCTGCGGCGCAGCAGGGGACTAATGGGAGAGGGGCTAGGTGGCGGCTGCACTCGTCCCCAGTCTGTCCAGGAGCCTGTTCTCAGCGTCTGCCCACAGTCCCTGTACAAATGACCGCTAGGGTGCTGGGCTTCCGAGGCGTATTCCTCAAAATACTAGAGACCGAAGTGACTGAATCACAGCCAGAGAAAAACAGAGAGCAAGTGAGCAACTTCCCACCTGCTGGTTCACCCCTCAAATGCCCACCACAACCCAGGCTGGGCCAGGCTGAAGACGGCAGCCAGGGGCTCAGCGCAGAGGGACCCAGCCACACCTGCTGCCTTGCAGGGACCTGAAGCAGCAGCAGAGCGACTTGAACACAGGCACTCGGATACGGGATGCAGGCGTCCCAGGCCCACCCTGACTTTCAACTTAAAAAACTAATGATTATGTTAGAACAGCTGCCCTATGTCCCCAATGTCTACAAACCAGTGATTAACAACATATCTCAATTTGCCACCAGAACACATAACCGTAGCTCTGAAAGAGAAACACTCGCCCTCTGCCTTGGATCTGGCATTCCCAGTCCTAGAACCTCAGCTCTGCTTAGCAGGCTTGTCAAGAGTTCCAGGTCTGGGGGCAGTGGTGGCGCAGTGGGTGAAGCCGCCACCTGCGACACCAGCAGCCGTCCACTTCTGACACAGCTCCCTAACGGGCCTGGGTAGCAGCAGAAGGTGGCCTAAGTGCTCGGGCCCCTGCACGCACGTGGGAGACCGGGATGAAGCTCCCGCTGCAGCCTGACTCGCTCGCAGTCTGAGGCCATCTGGGAAGTAAAGCACTGGGTGGAAGAGCTCTCCCTCACTCCCTCTCGTTGAAATAAATAGTAAAATAAATCCTTAAAAAACTGTAAAGAGAATACGCCAGACCTGCTCTGGCCAGCTCTACCCATGTCTTCCCAGCCGACGATCGAGGGTCTTCTCCTCCTGCCTTGCCCCCTCCAACCCAGGCACGCGCCCACTCCTCAGGCCACCAGGCCCCACCGCACCTTCCAGTTTCCTTGCCTTCTGGCCCTCAGTGAGCAGGGCTTCTGCTGCTCTAAGCCCAACCTCACCGCCGCCCTCCTGCCCCCACACGCCTCACACCCTTCTCACCTCCGCCTTGCACCCCGGCTCCCCCCTCACCCTGGGGACACCCTCTCGGGACGCCCACAGTCACTGTCCTCCAGGCTGCCTCCCCCTCTTGCCTCCTCTGGTTCTCGTGTTCTCGGGAGTCGGGCCAGCCCATGCCCAGTGGGCAGGACCCGGTCACTGCAGCCCCTCAGCACTTCCTGGAGAGCAAGCCTTCCAGGGACGCACCTCCGGCCACTCCAGGTAGACACACCTGTCAGAGCAGGGCTGCTGGAGCACAGGCAGCTGGCCGGCACAGCAACAGGGTCCTCTTTCTACAAAGCAAAACTCCGCCGCCCTGGGCAGTGCTAAGCCCAACCCGTTCCAGCTACACTTGGCTATATTCTAGGGTCTTACTGCCCGAAAATGTGTCAACTTTACTGGACATCTTCAAAGTACAGACAATGGCTACAGAGTTGCTTGCTTTTCCCAGTTACACTTGGCTGTAGCCACGGCAACAGCACACCTCCCGCAGGAGAGCCTCCCCAAAGGCTGGCCCCGCCTTCCATGGGCAAGAAGCCTGTCCTCAAACACGCGCTCTCCACTCTTCCCTGAAACCAAGCGCTGCCCACCAGGCCCGAGCCTCACACACACAGCCCCCTCCAGCGGAATTCCACCTCCTCCAGGAGCAGGAGCCCCGCCCGGCACAGGCCCCACGGCAGCAACGCGGGGGCTCCAGCAGCAGGAGGTGCCTTTCTCTCCGCACAGCCCCGCACAGCCCCGCACAGCCCTGGCTGCGTGGCCAGAGGTCACCTGCTTCCTGGAAACCACACCCCCAGAGCTGCACCTGACCAAAACCCCTCAGCGGGGGGGTGTTCTGACACAGCAACGAAGTCGCCACGCGGGACACCCACATTCCGCATCAGAGTCCCCGGGCTGCAGTCCTGGTCCAGCTTCCTGCTAACAGCCCAAGCACTTGGATGGCAATCACGACACGGAGACCCGGCTGCAGCGCCAGGTTCCCCGCCTCAGCAGCTGCCTGGATCAAACCAGCAGAGGTCTCGTCTTCTCCGCTTTTCAAATAACACAGTGTTTAAAATACCTTAAAAACCCACTGATTAAAAATAAAATGACAACCAAGAACAAGATCACTGTTCTCATCTTTGCCCCTCCCCTCCAAATTTAACACATTACTTAGCATTTTAAGGAAAGTGGTGAGCCACCCTTTCAACTGACCTGTGTAAACGCTTACCCAAACTCTGTGCATGTCTCAGACAAACTACAAAATATGAATTCACTTTAAAGGTGAACCGAGTGAACTCATCACTGCCAAATGCCCAATCGTACGTTGTCATTTTCTGACTCTACACTGATTTTTCGACCCCACAAGCAGCTGTGAGACGCGAGGATATTTCGGGGGCAGGCATTTGGCGCAGTTGTTAAGACCCGGGCTGCGACCACCCGGTCCCCTGAGCCCCTGGGTCTGCTCGCGCGCACCCCGCGGGGCGGCGGGGCACCTGTCACCCAAGCCGCTGGGCCTTCCAGGCGTGTGGGCGCTCTCGCGGTCGCGCGCGCTAACAAAGTTTAAGGAGAGACAAAAGCAAAAAACACCCCAAAACGCCCAGGGTAAATCTGACTTGTCTGAGTTTCCGCGCCACCACGGGCCGGCCGGCCGCCCGCAGCGGGCGCACGCAGGCTTCCCCCGCACAAACACGCACACACCGGCGCGCGGCGACCCCCGCGCATGCGCGCGCCGCCTCCCCTCCCCCGGCCGCCCGCAGCTCCGCGACTACGGAGAGCGTGGAATCCCAGAGTGCGGACAAAGGCTGCGCTCGCGGGGGTGCAGGCGAGCCCCCGGGAAGCACGCGTCCCCCGGGCGGCCGGGGACAGGGCAGCTGCGGGCTCGGCCCCCGCACGCCTCGCCACCACCGCCAAGCCGGCCGGGTCACAGGGACGCGCGCCCCCCGAAGCGGGAGGGTGCTGCGGGCTCTCCACGTCCAGGATCCCGGAGCCGCGGCGCGCAGACGGGCGCCCTCGCGGCGGGGAACGCGCCCGCCCCGGCCCCGCCAGCCCCCGCGCACGCACGGGCGCCCGCAGCCCAGGGGCTGCACCTGCGGGAGCGGGCTCGGGGGCAGTGGGCAGGGGTCCCGGCTGCGTGCGGCGCACGCAAGCGCCCGACGGCGGGTGGGCAGCCAGGGTCCCGGGTGCGGGGTCGGGTCCCGCCGCGGCCCCGCCCCCGGCCGCCCGCCCGCCCCACTCACACGCGCGGCAGCTGCAGCGGCGGCGCCCCGCGCCTCTGGAACACGCCGTCCACGAACACGCCGTTCTTGCCGAGGCAGCGCAGGTAGAAGTCGCCGCCCGCGCCCGCGTCGGGCCTGGGCTGCGCGGGCGGCTCCGGGGCGGCCCCGCCATGGCCGCCGCCGCCCGGGGGCGTGAAGATCTCGAGGTGGCGCCGGGAGATGAAGCTCGAGTGGCCCATGCTCACGTCCACCGAGCCCTGCGACGAGTTGCGCCCGATGGTCACCGAGCGCTTCTTCATCAGGTACTCGAACTCGCGGCCCTCGAGCCGCGCCACGGCCCAGCCGCCCGGCGGGGACCCGCCGCCCCCGGCCCCGCCGCCGCCCGCGGGTGGGGGGCCCGCGCCCGAGAGCGCCGCCGCGGCCGCCGCCATCGGCTGCGTGGGCCCGCCGGGCCGCTCCGCGCGGGCGCGGGTGGCGCGGGCCGAGGCCCAGCCGCGGTCGTCGGCCGCCGCGCAGCGAGCTGAGGAGGGGCCGCGCCGAGGCCGCCGGCCGGCGAGAGAGCGGCGCGAGGGGCGGGAGCACGCGCGGCCGCGCACCGAGCCGGCGCGCCGGGCCCGCCCCGCTCGGACGGACGGCCGCGCCGGCCAATGGGCGCGCCGCACGGCAGTGGGGCTACCGCGGCCGGCCAATGGCGAGCCACGCCGCGCCGAGCGGCCGGCACGTCCGGCGGCGACGCCCCGACGCAGGCCCGGCCCGGGCGGCCCGGAAAACCCGGCGCGGACGTCCCGGAGCCGCGCGGGATCGGGCTGACGGGGAGCGCGGCCCGGGCGGGGGCTCGGCGGCCGGGGGCGCAGAGCCGGGGCTGGCGCCGAGGGCCGCGGCGGAACGGGCCCCAGGTCACGGCGGGCGCGGGCCAGGGCCCCCTCCGCCGGCGCCTGGCATCGCGGGCAGGCCCGGGCCGCCAAGCGGCCTTCCGCCCGCGCGGTCAGCGGGACCCGGCCTTGGCGCGGCGGCGGCGGCCCGACCCAGCCTCGTGTGCCGGGCTGGCCGTCCAGGGGCCCCGCAGAAGGCCTGGGGGGTCTCGGGCTGCCGTGACATCCGCGCACGACCTCACAACATGCCCAGAAATACCTCCCGCGACCGAGTGGCCAACGTCTTGCTAATTTGATGCCAACAGGTTAAAAAAAGAGAGAATTTCCCACAGTTTAAAAAAAAAAAAAAAAGAGCCTCCCTCCCCCCGCCGAAGTCAAGATGACCTCCGGTCCTCATGGTTACTGGCCAGGGGCGCCCGTGGGGGCCGCGGGGCCGGCGCACGCACCGTCCGCGTGTCCGGTGCATGAGAGCGGACCCCACGGTGCCCGTCCCGTCTGCAGAGTCCCGAGGGTGCGGGCTGAATACCCAGCGCGCCCTGGACAGCAAAAGCACGACGACCCGTGCACGCGCCTGAGGGTTTAGGTGGGCGCTAACCGCGGACCCCTCTCGTTTAAGAGCGGGGGTGCGGAGCTGGTGGCGCTCGCTTGGGACCCCGCATCAGCGGGCGGCTTTGAGGCTCCTCTTCGGATCCCGCCTCCTGCGACAGCGCAGGTCCCTGCACCCACCCGTGACACCTGCACGGAACCCCGGGCTCCTCGCTTCCACCTGACCTGGCCCTGGCGGCTGGGGCCATCTGGGGAGAGAACCAGCGATGGAAGACATTCATTCACTCACTCTCATATCATTCTCTCCCTCCCTCCCTCCCCCTCTGCCTTTCAAGTAAGTCTTTCAAAGATGGATTAAGGGGCCAGCATTGTGGCATACCAGGTTAACCTACACCTGCAATGCAGGCATCCCGTGTGGCACTAGTTCAAGTCCTGGCTGTTCCACTTCCCATCCAGCTCCCTGCTAGTGCTCCTGGGAGAGCAGTGGAAGATGGTCCAAGTGTTTGGACCTCTGCCACCACCCGGGAGACCCGGAAGCAGCTCCTGGCTCTAGCCTGTCCCAGGCCTGGCTGTTGCAGCCACATGGGGAGTGAACCAGTGGACAGGAGACTGCTTTTCCCACTCCACCCGTTAACTCTGCCTTTCAAACAGATACATGTTTTAAAACCAGAACACTGGGGCGGCAGTAAAGTCGTCTTGTGAAGTCTGCATCCCACACCAGGAGCCTGGATCTGAGGCGGCTCCCTGTGAATGCAGACTGGGAGGCAGCAGCGATGGGTCCCTGCACCCACGTGGAAGACGGAACTAAGTTTTGGGCTCCTGGCTCCATCTTTGTCTGTAGCTGCTGTCTGGGGAGTGAACTAGTGAATGGAAGATCTCTGTCTCTCCAAATAGATAAAAGAAGTAAATTTAAACATTTCAAATTCTACTCGTGACTTTAATATACATCAGTGGTGGCCAGCTGAGTATTTAATGGGAATGCACACGCTGGCTCTGCCTTTCACGTAGATGAAAGTAAATACAAATAATGAAAGGGAGGCCCTGCCACCCAGGGGTGTGCACAGGACAGGGGGCTGGGGTGGGTCCCGGACCAGGTTACGGGGGCACCCAGCAGGCTGCCACTCCTGTTTCCATTCCAAAAGTAATAAGCAGAGCCAGCGCTGTAGTGGGGTGAGTAAAGCTGCCACCTACGACACCAGCGTCCCATATGGACGCCAGTTCAATACCCGGCTGCTCCACTTTTTTTTTTTTTTTATTTTAGAATTTTCCTCCCCTAAGATTCATTTAGTTCCAGAGAGGCAGAGGCAGAGAAAGAAAGAGGCCTTCCATCTGCTGGTTCACTCCCCAGATGGCTGCCGTGGCTGGAGCTGGGCCAGGAGCTACAGGTCTCCCACAAATGGGTGCAGGGGCCCAAGGACTTGGGCCATCTTCTGCTTTCCCAGGCCATAGCAGAGAGCTGGATCAGAAGCGGAGCAGCTGAGACTTGAACCGGCGCCCCTATGGGATGCTGGCACTGCAGGCAGAGACTTAGCCGCTGTGCCACAGTGCTGACCCCTGCTCCACTTCTGATCCAGCTCTCTGCTAATGCACCTGCGACACAGCAGAAGATGATGGCTCCTGCCACCCACGTGGGAGACCTGAATGGAGCTTCCTGCTCCCGCCCCTCCCAGCCCAGCCCCGGCTGTTGCAGCCATTTGAGGAATGAGTCAGTGGATGGAAGACCTCTGTCTCTGTCTCTGTCTCTACTTCTGTCTCTTCCCCCCTCTCCCTGAAACTCCACCTTTCAAATAAATAAAATCTCAAAAACCAGCATGTTATATTTTTGCGATTTTAATTTTAAATTACATAAGGTTGGAAAACAGTTGGATCTCCTAAAGTTGAAAATTGGTAAAATGTTTTAAATTCCTTCTGATTTTTTGAAAAAAATTATATAGATTGACTTACCGAGTTGAAAGGCAGAATTCCAGAGAGAGAGAGAAAGAGAGAGACAGAGCTTTCATCCACTGGTTCACTCCCAAAAAGACCACAACAGCTGGGACTGGGCCAGGCTGATGCCAGGAGCTTCCTCTCAGTCACACGGGTGCAGGCCCAAGCACTGGGCCTTTCCAGGTGCATTACAGGGAGCTGGGTCAGAAGTAGAGCAGCCGGGTCTCAAACCAGGGCCCATGTGGGATGCTGGCATCACAGGGGGCAGCTTTACCTGCTGCACCCCAATGCCAACCTCAAAATGTTTATCTGAGAAGCAGAGAGAGATGGAGGTGGAGATCTCCTGTCCTCTGGTTCACTCCACTCAAAATCCTGCACCAGCTGGGGCTGGGCCAGGCCAAGCCAAGAACCAGGAATTTCATCAGCGTCTCCCACACGAGTGGCAGGAACTCAAGTACTGACCCAGCAGTGGCCACCATCCGCTGCTTCCCAGGCGCACTGCCAGGGAACTGGGTGGGAAGTGGAGTAACTGGGGTACAGAACAGCACCAAACGTGGGATGTGGGGGTCCCAAGCAATGGCGTAACCTGCTGCCGCATTCCCCATCTGACTTTAAGAACAAGTAAGAGGCTGGCAGTGTGGAGTAGCAGGTAAAGCTGCCGCCTGCAGTGCCGGCATCCCATATGGGCGCTAGTTCAAGTCCCGGCTGCTCCACTTCTGATCCAGCTCTCTGCTGTGGCCTGGGAAAGCAGTAGGAGATGGCCCAAGTCCTTGGGCCCCTGCACCCACGTGGGAGACCTGGAGGAAGCTCCTGGCTCTTGGCTTCGGATCAGCGCAGCTCCAGCTGTTTTGGCCAATTGGGAAGTGACCCAGCAGATGGAAGACCCCTCCCTTCTCTCTCTCTGTAACTATTTCAAATAAAATAAATAAATATTTTAAAAAATAACAAATAAGTTTGTTTAGATAAGCAATAAGTTCCTAACTGAATTTCGTTCTGAACTAAGAACTCAGTGATAAATCTATTACATATCGTGTGGTGGTGGGGGGGAGTACACCAAGAAAACTGCTGGAGTTCACCGACCTGGAAGTGAAAGTGCCTTGCAGCTCTTCACGACCCCCCAGGTGCTTCTGGAGTTGAGCGAGGCGCTGGAGGGGCCCCGAGTTGCTCGGGGTGCTCCAAGCTGTGCTGCTCAGTAGGTGCCCTGGGCGCAGGCCCTGTGCACCCTGGTGTGTTTGAGAGCAGCCCTGCTCTCTCACTGTCTGTAACTCCACCTGTCAAATAAATTAGAGAGCGGGGGAGAGGGGGAGAGAGAGAAACAGAGAGGGAGAGGAGGGGAGGGAGGGAGGGAGGAGAAAGAGTGAGAGAGAGGGAAACAGAGACGTGTCTTCCATCACTCTTCAAATGCCTGCCTCAACCAGCGCTGGGCCAGGGCTGGGCCAGGAAGCCGAGCTCCCTCTGGGTTAGGGACCCAACTGCTGAGGCCATCCCAGCTGCCTCCAGGGTGCACATCAGTAGGCAGCTGAATTAGAAGGGGGGAGGGGCGGTGCTGGTGGCCGCACCCTGGCTTAGGAGGTTAAGCCTTCACCTGCGGCGCCGGCATCCCATACAGGCACCAGTCCTAGTCCCGGCTGCTCTTCCAATCAGCTTTCTGCTGCGGCCTGGGAAAGCAGCAGAGGATGGCCCGAGTGCTTGGGCCCCTGCACCCGCGTGGGAGACCTGGATGAGGTTCCTGGCTCGTGGCTTCAGATGGGCCCAGCTCCAGCCATTGCAGCCTTCTGGGGAGTGAACCAGCAGATGGAAGACCTCTCTCTCTCTCTCTCTCTCTCTCTCTCCCTCTCCCTCTCCCTCTCCCTCTCCCTCTCCCTCTCTCTCTCTGTAACTCTGCCTCTCAAATAAAAAAAAATTTAAATAAATAAATAAAAGAAGTGGAGTAGGGACTCAAACCCAGGCACTAAACCCCGGGCACTCCATGATACTAGATCCTGGTGTCCCAAGCGCTAGACCTCTGGACGGGCTCGGCCGGCGTGTCCTCTGGGCTCCCACTGGCCCATGCTGTATGCCAAGGCCCAGCACCAGAGCCGAGCGGCCGGGGCCCTGCTGGGAGGCCGGAGGGTCCAGCGCTCTCGCCTGGACCCGCACACGCGCGGCCAGCCCCGCTC